GCACCAGCTCTGTTTCCACCACACAACAAATAAACTGGCACTTTCTGCCACTGCTTGCAGCCTCTACTGCCCCTGGCTGTGGCTAATGCATTTCTGAGAGGACAGCCAACCCACCCTGGTGAGAAAGGAAAACCTGTTTATGATTTCATAGCACTTTCCCTCCCCTGTATTAACTTAGGATGGCAGTGTAAATGTCATTGCTTTGCGTGGCTAAGTAACAGCAGCAATCTAGACAGATGGGGACAGCCACTGACTCAGCACATGAAAGGCCCATATACAACCAATTAATTCCTTCAAGCTTCACTAGTTAGTGCCAGGCTGGATCATACGCTAGTTACTGCTGTGCCACTCACGTACTGTACTAGTTACTGCTGCTGCTGCTCTCCCCTCTCTCCTTCTCTGTGGAATAAAGGGAAGGCCCAAGACTCCATATTCCCTCACATTAAAATATAAATGTCAAGTGTTGGGAATTTCCTTATTTTATGAGTAACATTAGCTTTTCATTCTTTACTTATATCTAAATTTCAACACCTTCCTTGAGCTGCCAGCTGCTAGGAAAGACAAGGAACTTCCCAAGCTTGGTTTAACATCACAGTAACTGAAAGGATATGTGTATTAGGCATAAGTTCTCACTATGTACTGGGCATGGGAGGGTGGCACTCAAGGTATCAGCTTGATCTTTATAAATGGAAATGGTTCAAAATCTTGGTCAGTGCTCCAGAGTTGTAAAAAATAAAACTGTTGCCGTAATGTCCTTAAATCGAAAGCCAGAGTTATTGAAAGCCTCTAACACTTAAAACTGCCCAGCCCTTGGAAAGGTCTCAGGACTCACCCAAGCCATCTAGCACAGGGGCTGAAACATAGCAGGTTTTTTTTATACAGCAAGTGGTAATTTGCTTTACATAGAAGAGCCCAATGCTGCTTTTCCCAATATCTTCCTTAGTATGCAAGTCTGTCTTCCACAAATGCTCAGGAAGCAATTCATCCTGGAACAGGAATTGAGGTGTGTCAACCTGTGTTAGGGGCTTGATTGTCTACACATTATTTCAGGCACCACTTGCGGTCCTATAAAATAAGGACCTACCTGATTTCACTTGGACAGAGGCTATCTAAGAAGCACAAAGCCAACGGGCCACACTGTGTAAGAGAGAGGACAAGCAGGATGCATTCCTCACTCTGCTGTCTACTGACATAGGTAAAACCTTCAAAGAACCACTTCTTTTCAGGTGTCAATCACATGAAGATGGAGGAGGACTGCAAGAGGAGAATGGTGAGCTCCGGCAGTGAAGATCAACAAACCAGGTCTGAAATGGCCTTGATCAGCAGGTCCCACCTGCTCGGCCTGGCCTATCTGCCACAACCCAATTGATGGCCATGTAGTTGCCTGGAGCCAACTCCAGCCTCACTTCCTGAGGGCCACAAGAGGTGTCTGGGTCAGCAAGTGCTGCCTGAGAAGGCACTGCTCTGCACTTCGTAGAGGGTAACCTTTTGATTTGCCATCTGCCTGACAGAACTGCAGGAAGGGGCTGGTCCCACGGTTGAAGGCTTTAACCCAACAATCAGGAGATGTGGACAGGCTTCTCACCCTTTAGCCTATGACTTGGACTTGTGTTCAGATTACACACCACTGGTGCTTAAAATGCTGGGCTGACCTCTTCCTGTTTACTGTTTGAAGTGTCTCCAGCTTCCAGCCCTTCAAAGGGTGCAAGAATACTATACTGCTGCTCATTAACAGGTTTTTTTGAGTCCAGGGATAGCACGAAAACCCTGAGAGAAGATGTAGGTGCATTTGAGAAGGGCAGATCAGGCAGTGAAATGAGGAGGGATAAAGTGCAGTCTTTATCTTAAAAATCTGCTTTTGCAGAAGAAAATTCAAGAACTGGAGAGTCCTTCAAGAGCTCCAGAAGGTCTTCACCTTAGGGCTTAACAGAATTGACAGTAAGCTGCAACGAACTAATACAGTGTTTAAAAGGACCTTCCTGAAGTGTCAAGCTTGTAATGGAAAACTCTTAGTGTTGTTGTAATCCAACAAGTCCCTGCTACCACATGGATACAGCTCCTACTGAAGAGATGAAAGAAAACAAAACTGCCATGAAGTTTATCTTGAAAGAACGATGTTTGACAAGACTCCATTTAACCAGATGTTGCCAAACACAAAATTCCCAGCACTCTGCTGATGCCACTGAGGATCCTGGTCAGGAGAATATTCACCAGAAAAGAATGTGGAGAGTAACTTTCTCATTTTCATGTTTGTAAACCCAGTAAGATGAGGAAAGCTGGGGTGACTGATCACCAAATTCTGGGGAGGAACTACATACAAAAGCGAGTTAACACTTTAACATGTATTTTACATGGTCTAGTGTGAGGCATCCCTGCCCATGGCAGGGGGGTTGGAACTAGATGATCTTAGGGTCCTTTCTAACCCTAACTATTCTATGCCCTTTCTACGTAATACTCTTCACTAAGCGGAAATACTAAGCAGGGAAGGAGACTCAGCTTAGGTAACTCAGGATAGCTCCAGTAGATTTCTGGTAGAGCAACTTTGGTTCATCCCTTTTACCGGGCCTCTGACTTCTAGTACTTTGTTAAGCATCATCAGATGAACAGAGAAAGAGTGGCTGCCTGTTGCTTAGCATGGAGGGATCCGGACTCTCACTGAAGGTTATTTGCCTACAATATCCTCAATGGTCCAATTGCATTAGCTTTGCTTTATGAAAATTTCCTTTGAAAAGTGAGTCACTAACCCAGGCGGGAAATTCTTTTGAAATACAAATGAAAGACACATTGAATGCAATTCTCTGGATAATAATAGTTCTTAGAAAACTCCACCTCTTACCTCCTCCTACCCTTGTTTATTCTTTTCCTAAGAAAACTCACTCATCAAATTAGACTGAGCTGATTTCTTTTTATCTGGTTTTGTAGTACAATATTTTTTACAAGTTTTCTAGTAGAAAAAACATAGATATTTGCTGAAGAAAAGAAGTATCAAGAAAAGTAGGTAGTGCTGAAGTTTCTGTTCCTAAGTAGGTTAACAGATTGACAGACAACTTCCTTCTCAACAATTCATTATTTCAGAGCTTATTGTCTTGTTGTTGCTATTTTAAGCAGGATTGTCAGAACTTGCCTGCAAGCACCGAGCGTAAGTCTTCTCTCTAGTATTATACCCCAATAATTGATTTTTAACAACTTGTGGAGGCCTGAGGGAGCTGGGTGAAAAGAGCAACACAAACTGTTAAATATTTCTGTAAAGTCCCAGCAGCTCAAGTAACAGCCCCAGTCCTGCAACTCTCTAACAAGGGGACACCCCTCACTGCACTTCCTGTTTCTACCACAAACCCTTAAGAAAGGGAAATCTTGGAAGATTCTGGGTATTCCTTAACAGGAAGGAAAATGAAAGGCAAAGACATCCCATAGAGGATTTATCAGTGGTGTCATGGGGACTGCCACCTCCTCTGACACTATCGATTACAGTCTGCATCCCCAATGGGACAGAGGGGGCTGGTCACAGACTGGGCTCATCTTCACCCACATGGCATTCATGTCAAGCCCTACCACCCCGCTTTTGGCACCAAAAAACTTGGGCATATGCTCCTGAATGGCATCCACCTGCAGGACAGCAGAGTGCCCCAAAAAAGCAGAGAGAAGAAACCTTTCACCTACTTCACACACAATCAATACACTGGCAAATGATGTTTTGTGACGTTAATTCTGGCATCAACAGCACTTCGGGACCCAAGTCAAGACCAACAAGGTCCAAATTTCTGGGGAACTGAGAAGCCTCCTGAGATAACTGAGGGTCAGAGTCCATCAGGCTTATTTCCATCACCCAAATTAAAGCCCACCCACAGCAGAACAGCCTGCATGATCACCTCTGGAGGGGTGAGCACCTGCGTGTCACCTCAAGCTGTCTTATCAGTGCTTTTTTTAAGAAGCCCAGCAAATGCCGTGTGATCAGATATGGCAGGGGGCAAGGGACCCATCTGGGAAGCCATTAGGACAGCAGGAGCAAACTGGCAATTTCTAGAATGGAGAAAGATTCCCATGCAGCTAGCAGGGAGGTGAAGGACAGAAAGCAGTCCAGTTCAGACTGCTGCTAGTCTTTCCTGCTGTTTTAGTGGCAGCCAAACTGCTAAAAGGAGGTAAAGCAACTCATACCAGACCTTTCTGCTGCTATTTTCTACTGCTTGGTTTAACATATTCTTCACTGAAGCTTCCACAGCAGGATTGTAGGATACACCCCCCAAGTTGCTGTATAAATACAGTATTGTTTAATGAGGCTGCAAGGTCCTTTATTGTATTGGTTACAACCTTTGCAAATTCATTTTTCCGACAAAATCTGCACTGAAGCACCAGTGTGATCTGTTTACCCTTGGCCCATTCAGGATAGTGCAGTGCAACTTCATGGAGCATTAATTTCCTCAAGACATTTTTAATGCCTAGCAGTCCTATTTAAAATGCCCTGGGGAAAAGGAAAAAAAAAAGGCGGGAAGGGAGGGAACGAAAAAAAGAGCCCTCTCAGCAGTCCCAGGGAGAAAACTTGCTCAGCACAGTGCAGAAAATCTTCCCAGGAGGAAACCAGCAGCGAAAGTAGGAGTGCAGCAAATCCTTCCCTAGCTCTGCCCCAGAGCCAGACACATCTGCCTGCCAGTTGCACATCCAGATGGCCTCCCACCCATTTGCTCCCCTTGTGAATGTCCCTCCTGCCATCCACGGTCTCTTGCACACATTCACATACTTTTTTTGGGAAACCACCACCAGTTCCCTATAACCTTCTTGTTTGACTCTTACGGGTTTTCTGCTGCAGCATCTCCACACAATTAGCCAATTATGACAGCTAATTAATCATCAAACCCCAAAAGGCTAACCTCCCACCCTCCTCACTGCCTCATGCTGTGCATTAGCCCTTGCTGAGCAAGCAGCACATGTGGCTGGAGATCCAATGCTCCCCCTGGTCTCAATCGCTGCACCCTTCCACCTCTTGTAAAGGCAGGACTTCACCAAATAACCTTGGTACGGCCAGAGAGGTTCTGCCATAGGGTTTCCCAGGTGAGGTCCTATACACAGTATCCCAGGCAGCCTCCCAAGGAAACTCCTCTCCCCTCTGCACTGTCCCCAGTTTGGGATATGGGGTCAAACAAGAACTGTCCTCTCAAAACCACCCGTACAGCATGACAGGGATTGATATACCCGAGAATCCCAGACCTTCCTTAGAGTAAAGCAAGCAAATTTTGCCAAGAAAGGTTTGGACCAGATGGTCTTTGAGGTCCCTTCCAACCTGGTATTCTGTGATCCTAAAGGAACCACCCACTTCTGCCTGAAAGGTATCTTTCAGAGCTTGGAATTTATCTGGAATAAGGATTGAGGGATAAAATAAAGTTCGCTCTTTTTATCCCTAGCCCACAGCTAAGGCCACCTGCTTCTAAACCGTGTGCTCACATCACATGAACCTCCCAAACGTGCACTCGCTGCTCCCCATGCTGAAGCACAAACTCTCAGTGGAGAATTTCAGCATTACTAGACAAGCCAGATACGTGATTTCACCCAGATGCTCTCCAGGTCATTCAGTTTCCAAATGAAACTCTGTGAAAACATCCTTTTTTTTTTTTTTTTCCAGTTTCTGGGCTCCACAACACATGTCCATGATTTAAGTCTTCCCTCAAACTAGGGACTTCATACAGACGGTTCATTTGATCATGGTTACCCAGTTCTTACTGCAGCATCACCAGGTGGGCCATCTCTAGTTTCAGAGCAGGCCCTCTTTCTCCTCCCTCTCATGGGAGATCTGCATGGAAATTCACAGCATGCTCTTCAGCCCCAGACTGTTCCCCTGCTGTTCTCTAGTGGTCCTGGAAATTAAAGGATAATTTCTCTTTAAAACCCTTTATGCAATGGCTGCTAGAGGTCACCACCAAATGAAGTGGGGCCACGGGCATGAAACACCACCTCAGTTGTCACTCACTGGAGGCAGAACCCATCACCTGCACACGCGAGACACACACACACATAAAGGGAAGACTACGTGAATAGTGTTCCCACAGCTGAGAGTGGGCAGCTATGCAACTGCTCAAATCATTTCACACCTCTATCTCCTCCCACTCTGTCTGCTTCCTCTGCTTGGGCTGTTAGCAGTACGCAGCAGGGGCTCTTGGAGCAGGCTGCCTGGCCCTCGGTGTCAGGGAAGGCATGGTGTGAGGTTGCTAAAACACACCAGCAGCAGTAACAAGCGGAGCTGGAATCACCTCCGCAAATGAAGGGTGAGGAAGGGTGCTTTGTGCCCTGGAAGTGGGTGAGGGAGGGAAGAGGACAGGACACTGCTAGTAGGCTCCTAAGCACATCAATGTGCTTTCATCATTCAGCAGTTTGCTACTGTCCCATACCCAAATTCTGGTAAGTGCCAAACACCTCTGAGGTCAAGCAGACCTATTTACGTGAAGCCAACCACAACATACTCAGCTGATGAGGGAATAAACAGAAGTTAGTCTTTGCCTCTATAAACAAAGATAGTGCTGGGGAAATGCGAGTCATTTGAAAGGATCAAGGGGCAATTAATTGGGTCACAACGGTTGCAATATATGTACTTATCTTAAATCCCTACCTCATGCCCTCTGTCTTGCACAGGACATGATTCACTGTCTGCTTCTGAGAATGACCCAGACTCATCGCTGGAGTTTGTTCCATAGGATGGCTCACATTTAATCTGGGCTCGGACTGGGTTGTACAATCCATCCCCCACCACACCGGGCTCCTGGTGCTCGGGCGCCAGGAATCGGGGGCCTTGGGAGCAAGGGGAAGAGGAGAGCTCGCAAAGACGCAGGCTGCAGGGAGAGCCGCCACTGCCGTCCTCTGCGTACGAGTAGGAAGAGCATGAGCTGGAGGTCCTGGTTCTTGTTTCCAAAGGAGGCGAGCGAGGGCAAACTTTAATTGGCACCGGACAGCTGGTGTTTGGCCGCATCCTTCCCGGCAAGTGATCAGCTGTCAGTCCGCTGTGCGAATAGGTCTGAGAGCTGGGGAGAGACTGGCTACTGCCAGCCCACAGACCCTTTGGCACAGTCTCAGTGAGGTCTTTGTCCAAGCTGCTCACACCAGAATATGAATGCACCGAAGTGTTTACTTGGTCACAAGCATTTGAAGAGAATATAACACTCCTCCTGTCCAGTTCCCCTTCTTGCTTACAGAGAGTTTCAAAACCGGGCCCCCTGAGTGGCGATCCCACTGTGAAGTTGGAAGCATCCTTCTGCATGGCATGGGACTGTCCATAATTCCCTGTGAAAGGGACGTAATCAGTTTTGTGGTCACCCTGAGATGTCCCTTTTTCAAAAGGGCACGCTGGACTCCTGCCAAAGTGCTGTTGGGAAGTGCTGGGGAAGCCAACCAAATCTATGCTTTTTGTTCTATTGAAGAAAGACCGCAAGCAAGGAGAGGACCCACTTTTCGGCCTGTCAACGCAAGTGGGGCTTGGCTGTTTCCTGTCCATTTCAACATCCCCTTCTTTATCCCTGATGTCAGGTTCATCTCCAGACAGGCAAAGTGTGATGCTTTCTTCATCGTTCTCTTCATTCTGAGGCTCGCTTTTTATCTGCCCCATAGCAAGTCCTGATTTGAGGCCATTTCCAGAGCTCTCTTCACTGAATGTGCTTGCAAAACCTGAGGTACTGATGTGTGATGTGTTGTAGACATTCTTGGTACAAGCAAGCTGGTATTTCTTGTATCTGGGGTACCGTGTTACTGCATCTTTGTCCAAATTGTCCTTGCTATCTCTCAGCATGTCAGAGTCAGGCAGCATCCCTTCGCCTTTGTCTGCTCCAGCAACAGTGGTTTCAAAATTGAAGGGCTCTTGGTGCATCCTCTCTCTGGGGCAAGATATTTTTGATGTCTCCGATTCCATCGTCTCCTCCTCATCTCCATCCGAGTTCTCCTCATCGTGCATGCGCTGACAGGTGGTATCTTTTTTGCACAGGAACAGGCCATCTTCGTTGTTCAGCAGTTGCGTCTGAAGGAAGCTGAAGCAGGAGTCCTCCAGGTTGTGCATGCGCAGGAATTCAGCGCAGTGGATGACCTCCTGGATGTTTTCTCTGCTGAGTAACAGCTTAGCAGTGTAGGCAAACTGTAACAATGGACCAAATCCCCTGACAGTGACCTGCAAAAAAACAGAGAGGGAGATTGCCAGTGTTACTATCAGCTCTTGCTATCATCCCAAATCCTTCATCGCATAGTTATCCTATCACACCAGCAGTGATGCTACATCCGGTAACTAGCACTGCTCTCTTTATGTTGCTCCTGTACACCATTACAGGTTGAGCTGAGCACTGTTTTTCCCAAATATCTTGAGGACCTATGAACTAAGCTTCTTCTCTAATGAAAGGCTGGAAAAAACCAGACTGGTGTGGACACTGCTAATTCTTATACGGATCTTATATTAACTGTGATGCAGCACACTAACACGAAGATACCAATTAAATTTTGATTTTTTTTTTTAAATTTTATTCTTTGATTCTTTTTGCTGAAAAAATAATAGGTAAGTACTGACTGCACACTTCTTTTTTCCATCCCATGGAGATTATTCTCATACTGTTCCTGATTTTAGTGAGTCTAAGGTACAGCTAACAGGAAACAAATCCACATTCATAGTTCAAATGATACATATTGGTCCGAGTCTCAGCCCAGTACTTAATTTTTCACCATTTTCTTTGTAGAAAACATTAACAAATGTTTCCAGGACAGTGATCTCCAACCAACTGTTCCAGGTCTGAGTTACACACCACTACTTGTCCTTTTTTCAAATCATGTCATCTACACTTTACGTTCATGTATCATATAATAAAATATACACACTTCCCCCCCTCAATTTTTTACAGCGATATCTTCACATGTAACTATCAAATAACTTGCCAAGCCACATGGTAAACTATAGATATAGTCTATTTTTTGACAAAAATGCACTGGCATTAACTTTTATTGCATTTTTTCCCTCAATGGGCAGGAAGAAAAGGCACTGGAAAAACTCTGTTCTTCATGAAACAGGCAGAGGCTGCTTCAAACCCTGGGCTCACCATCAAGGATAAAGGTTTTCCCACAGGAAGGAGATTCAGTGGTTTGGCCACTAAGTTGAGAGACCATAACTCTATTTCCCATTGCACTGAGCACCTTCTACGTGACCCTGACAAAACATTTCAGTCTTGATTCACGAAGATGCCTTCTTACCTTGCTCGCAAGTGGTGTTCACAAATCTGAGTCCCCTGTGCTTTGCATACAAAGGAAAGGCATTTAGAAGGGATTCAGAGCAGCCAAATGCCTTCATGCCTATCTGAGGTTGGGATGCAACCTCCATCTGGCTGCAGGTGTCTCTGGTAGGTGTGCCCAGCTCAGTTTCTTCTTCTAAAACCAACAAGAAGCAGCAGCACTGCTATCCTCTTTTTGTAAAATGGCCTAAAGATCAGAAGAGGGACATAGGAAGTAGGAGCCCAGGCTCCTCTCCCAGGGATTCAAATTCACATTTCCCAGCTCCTCAGAAGGATATCCTATCAAGTAGGAATGGGATACTCTAAAGGTGAGCTGCTTTTCCCTGTCCTTCCAGTTGAATTCACGCCACTGTGCAAGAAGCTGCTCAAGAGGTCAGTGAGACATCAGGACACGAATTTGTGACGGTCTTATTTGTGATTAGCATAAATCTGAGTGAATGATTTAGTTCATCCCAATTAAAAGCCTACAAATTGCCTACATTGCCTCAGGACCAACGGAAGAGCTCACAGATTTTTATAGAAAATCCTGACTTCCAGAAAAAAAGCCTTTTTTATTCATAGATCTGTACTTGTGATGCTGTATTACGAAGACACGACAAGCAGCACAGACTCTGATGGAGAGAACAATATTTTAAAACACCTCTACAATTGCTCCCAGTAGCTTTTCCATACATAATATTACCACCATATCTGCTATTTTAAGAAACAGTGCATTTTCATGCAGATACTTACACACTTGCACATCCTTTTACAATACGCCTCTGGTACAGAATTGCCTGGATTTACAGCTGGCTATTAAACCGATCTCTGCTTTATCAGTGTTACACTTTCTGCCTATTTGTTAGATTATCAGCTCACTATAAAGGCCTATCTGCATTTTATCTATGCAGCATGATTAACAAAATTGCTTGGGAACTTAATGAGCTACTTGCAGGCCGATGCTTCTCTTTGATAAGACCTTCAGTGTGGGGGCTTACATATTCGTACACATCTTGCAAGCTCCACAGCAGCACAGTCTGTAGGAGAAGCCATAAATACTGTCTGGGGTTTCTGGGTTCCTTTTGATGAGGAGGGAGTCTGGAGCACCAACCCAGCTCCCCTGGCAGTTGTGTCACTCGGCCACTAGGTGGAACGACTGGAAAGCAAATGACAATCATTTGCTGTGCTGGGCCAGGGTTTCACCGGCCAGCCTGCGGCCCCAGCGCAGGCACTCTGCAGAGCCCCGGGCTGACTCAGACCACCCCACAGCACGGCTGTCTCCCACACTGACTCAGGTTTTTGCTCCCAATAAATCACCATGATAACAGCAGCAAGACAGCTGTTACAGCTGTTCTGCACCGGAGGTACTGGAAACAGAGCCTGAGACTACACCATAGGTTCCCAGCGATGCCCGGCAGATACCTCAAATGAAGGATGATGAAAATGTTGGTGATGAATTTAACCTTATAAGATCTTACCCAGTGACACAACTTTCCTCACTCTCAGGATCTTCAGATCCAAAGGGGGAAAGTTTCTTTTCAAGCACCCGGTGCTTGTCATTGCCCTCAGGGGGGAATCTCTCAAGTGCCACTGCTTGAAACTGCGCAAACAATAACTTTGGAAACAAACAGATGCAAAGCTTGCTGCCAAGTGCGAAAACCAGCCCAAGCTCTGCTGCCTGAAGCTGTCTAAATATTGATTCGGTTCCCGGGGCAGGTCCCCTGCCTCAGCCCCACCAGCTTTGGGACCGCCCACATCTGATGCGTTCTGGCAGGATGGCTGGAATCAAGGCGCTGGAGCGTGGCTATGAGCACCACACACTGGGAAAGAAAAGGCTTCGGAGCGCGTGTATTACCATCACACATGCATTACTGTAGGGAGAGGTAAGAACAGACTTTAAAAATGATTTGACCTGACTGATGCATCCCAGTGAAAACAGTTACTGAAACCAAGTTGATCTGTGTTTGCAGAAGGAAACAGATCATTTCTCTGATACAACAGTCTCCATTTGCCGTGAGAGGGACCTTTGCTGGATGAGTAAAGCACATGCCAGCAACAATCTCAGTTTATTTCCCCCACACTACTGTAAATAAGATGCCATATGTCCAAGATTTGTTTGCTTTTAAATGTTATTTTCCATGTAAATTAATGTTTAAGTATGCAGGTCTATTTGTGGGAATCTCCACCAGGCTCCTTGTCCAAGCCCATATGCCAAGTCACTGCTTCCCTGCCCTCCAATCATTTGCTTTATGTCAATTTCTATCCATTTCTGTTGTGTAAATGGGTACAAGAAATTGGGGCATAGTAAAAGTAAAACATACATAAAAACAACAATGCACACACAGACAAGAAAAGCGAAACAGAGACTCTCAGAGGCTTGCCTTCCCTTGTCTTTAAAGGCAGGCTAGGAGAGGACTCCTCTTGTGTACATGAAACATGCCGAACACCCTGCCAAGTCTAAGGATGAATCACTTTGTCTTGCTCCTGTCCCCAGCTGGTCTTGTATGTGTTAAACCCCATCTGCACAGCAGTGCACAGAGGACATGGGTACTGCAGCCCTACCTAAGCCATCCGGCACCTCTTCTTGCTCTACAGCAATCCCAGAGATCAAGCACCAGGGATATACGTGCAGCTGGGCTGCGACAGGAACACCATGCTCAGCATGTGCTACGGAGGTCTACGTCAATTCAGCATTGTAGTTATAACAAACCTGACCACTGCTAAGGTGAAAGAAAGTTCTCCAGCCCTTTATGAGCCGCGCTTATCTTTCAGATTGAGCTCGCCGAGCCGGGGGATGTGTTTCGTATGTCCATGCCCTCATGAGTTTATGACACTGAGGAATGGGCTGGAAATAATGCAATGATATAATCACCATCAAGAGAGTTGTTAATCAGCGTTAGCCATATTGAATTTACCAGCAAAATACAGACAGCAGCCCTGCAGAAAACAAGCATGCAAAACTTATTTTAATTCAGTCCAACACTGCTTTTCTCCTTACAGAGTCCTGTGGAGTGCAATGCTCTGGTTAGTTTTAATTGATTTAAGACACCAGACATTCACTACTACTTCCTCTGGGAGATCACTGCCAGACTCTGCTTACAACCTCCCTATGAGGAAGTCTTCCTTCCCGTATTTTCCTCCATCATCTGTCATTACATTTTCTCAATGCGTTCCGGGTAATGCTCCTTCTTTTTGAAGAAATATTTGCATTGTTATACTCTCTGCCTTCCCTTCTTCTTTGGTTGGTATTATATCATTGACAAAAACCTGGCTAACTCAAGGAAAACAATATTGATCACTGTCAGATTGGAGAATAAGAAGCTGAGACGAGAGTCAGCAACAAGAAATGCTAGTAAAGAAGGCAGCATTACAGATGCAAATACAGAACACTTTTAGCACAGCATTTTTCTAAAACTGGGCATGAGCTATTCTAAAATTAGGAGGAGGGTTACCTCACTTTCATGTCAGGAACATCGTATTTTCGTATGGGACTTCTATGGCAGAAATTCTATTTTAAAGCCAGTTGTACACACACCCACAGGCACCACAGGAGACACAGCACTGTGGGTGAACTCCCTCTGGCTCCCTACTGTACGGAGTCTCCTCCATGACAGCCGATCAAGCGTGGAAGCCTCTGTGTTGGCTGCGTTGCCCACACACGGGATGTGGCCTCCGAGCACTTGCAGAGGTCTGACATTTCTGAGGATAGGCTGGACTTGCTGTGCGCTGCAGAGTTCATCAGTGCTTGCTCATTAGCTGCTGCCCAGACTTCCAGATGTCTCAAAATCCCAGACAAGTAGACAAAATCCTCCAGTTCTGCACAGACAGTATTTCTTAGAGGGGGAAAAAAAGGTTATTTCCAAGGGAAACATAGATGTCTGGTAACCCTGCTCTGAATGGCATCCGTATGAAAAGCTGC